CGGCTGCACTCGCCCGTAATTGAATTGTTTGTTGCAAAGCGTTCGCACAAAGCTCTTTTTAATTAAACTCGAAAACGCTCTTACCAAAGAAAATAGTTTCTTTTCGTGTGAATCACCAATATCTGGCAATTACGCCAGTTTTTCTGGTAACGAGTTTATAATGTGATGTGTAGCGTGTAAATTTCACGTAATGTTTTTGCCGACGACAGCACCCCCGAAATAAATGTATTTCGAGTTAGTTGCTGCTAGGAACACTCATAATTACATTGTAACAAGAAACATTCCGGAGATTTATTAACGCGGCGTTATGACACTGTGTTGCAACCTTTTTCGTTGTTGTTTTGCGTAAGTTAGAGTTTGGTCGATTTATAACACGAACTTATGCAGAGTGTTAAGAATGTTTTTTGTTTTTTTAATAATTACCCCGGCGCCTCCACCATTTTCACGGAAGATAAAATTCCACGCCACCTATCGACGCAAAAACCCACCAGTTTTTATCACCGCTCCTCCACTTCTAATTCGTATCAACTTCCTCGAATTCTTCGCTTTCGGCGACGCGAATATAAGCTCGTTATTCCCTCAAGAAAACACCAACTTTTTCATATTCCAGCCCATTTTCGCTTTGTAAACATATCACGTCTTATCAGTTAACGCCAAGCGGCGGCCTGGTCGTTCCGCAAGAACAAAAAACCCAAAGAACAGCGTTTAAGCTCCATTGAGCGAAATCGCCTGGAAACGTTGCATGGAAATTTAACGGAGAAAAAAGACCAGTATTTTAAGCTTCACTACTTAACCGAATTTGTCAGGATCGATACGTCTTGGCTGCTTTTCAAGAGATTGACCATACAGATATAAAGCGGAGGAGGAAAAGGATAAAGGGGCGGCGGGTTAGAAACTGACAAAGGAGGACTTATCAGGGATCAATTTATAAGTCCATCGATGACAAGCTGCGGCCTGAGTTTACATTGTCAGCACCTAATGATGTGGTCTGCGAGGAATTTTAAGCGGTTTGATGTTTGTGGCACGTCGAGGGTGTTTTTTCCGAGTTCGGGATACTGCGTATGACGGGTGGGTTCTACGACCATAAAAAGATAAGTTGGGGGTTCCTAGGACGGCAATTTCGGGGCTTTCGCGGGGGATTTGCATTTTAGGCGATATGCTGTGGACGGGAATGGATTTAGGCTTTTTGAATTGCGTTTTATCGGTTTTCTTTTCACGTTGGGGAGTTAGGATATGCTTACAAGTCGAGTGACAAAAGATGAGGTAAACAATTTTTCGAAGCACTTGTGTTGTGCAATTTTTTAATCAAGTTAACAAATGTTTTAATTTTGTTAACATACATAATTTGTCATTGCGACATTATTTAAAAAGAAAATGCCTAAAATAGATTTACTGCAACAAAAAATTGCAATAAAAAGATGGAAAATTTTATCAACAGGGGACCAAAATTTAAAAACATCACTATCTGGCAAGCGAAAACCAACGGATTTATTTACAAATTATATGTTTCGGGAAGACCTGCAACGACGAATTTGGCAACTTAATGAAAAAAACGAATAGATACTGTAGATACTATTTTGGCATATTCTAGGGAACAGTTGGAATTTAAAGGGAGGCGAACCACATTATACAAAATTCTCCATTTTATAACACAATTTTTGATTTCTTTATTTCCTTTATTTTTTTGTTGTTTCTTTCGATTTACAGTGCTTTATTTATTCAATTTTTCAAATTTTCAGGCTTTCATTTTTCAATTCCGTGATTTTCCACGTTTAAAATTTTTCAATTTGCAGTTTTTGGATTTCCAGTCTTCTAATTTTTCAGTTTCTTTAATTTTCAATATTTTGCTTTTACAATACATATTTCTTTTTTTTATTTTTCACATTTTCGAATTTTAAGTTTTTCGATTTTTAATCTTTCGATTTTTCAAATTTACATTTTTCAAGTTTTCATCATAAACTTTTTCGTTCTTTTATTTTTGATTTTTCAAGTTATAGTTCCTTGACTTCTAAATTTTTCAATTTTTCGATTTGCAATTTTTTAATTTTGCAATTTTTCGATGTTACAGTTTCTCATTTTTAGATTTTTCACATTCTCAGTTTATAATTTTTGTCATTTTCAATTTTTCGCTTCCTCAATTTTTCAAGTTCTCGATTTTTAATTTACATTTTCCCGATTTTTTTAATTTTCATTTTCTCGGTTTTATGTCACAAATTTAAATTTTTTCAATTCCTTTGTTTTTTGTTGTTTTTTTCGATTTTTCAATTTTTCGTTTCTTCAGTTTTTCGAATTTTCAGTTTCTCAATTTTTCGTTTCCACAATTTTTCGTGTTCCCGATTTTTATTTTTCAGTGTGGCGAATTTTTAATTTTTATTTTCTCGATTTATATCACAATTGTCCTTTATTTTCTGTGTTTTTTTTTTCGATATTACAATTTTTCATTTGTTCCATTTTTCAAATTTACAGGCTTTGAATTTTCAGTTCGTCCATTTTTCAATTTTTAAATTTTTCACTTTGCAGTTTTTGGATTTCGAGTCTTCCGATTTTCCAATTTCTTTAATTTTAAATATTTCTATTTCATAATACATATTTCTTTTTTTTTTGATTTTTCACTTTTTCGATTCTTAAGATTTTTCAAGTTTTCATTTTGTAATTTTTCGTTTTTTATTTTTGATTTTTCAATTTTACAATTCCCCGACTTCCAAAATTTTCAATTTTTCATTCCTTCAATTTTTCGGTTTGAATCAGTTTTTCAATTTGGCAATTTTTCAATATTACAGATTTTCATTTTTCGATTTTTCATTTTTCCCTTTTCCAATTTTTTGTTTCCGATTTTTATTTTTCATTTTCCCAATTTTTTAACTTTCACTTTTTCGATTCTATATCACAATTTTTCGTTTTTTCATTTCCTTTATTTTTTATTGTTTCTTTCGATTTTACAATTTTTCCTTTATTAAATTTTTCAAATTTTCAGGTTTTTAGCAATTTTTCTTCAAATTTTCAAGTTTGATTTTCACTTTTGGTTTTAATTATACACTTTTTCGTTTTTCTATTTTTGATTTTTCAATTTTACAATTTGTCGACTTCCAAAATTTTCAATTTTTCAATATACAATTTCTCATTTTTCCATTTTTCATATTCTCGATTTTTAATTGTGCCCTTTTCCAATTTTCGGTTCCCTCAATTTTTCAACACCTTGATTTTTATTTTGCATTTTTCTGATTTTTTATTTTTCATTTTCTCGATTTTATATCACAATTTTTTGTTTTTTCACTTCCTTAATTTTTGTTGTTTCTTTCGATTTTCCAATTTTTCATTTATTCAATTTTTCAAATTTTCAGGCCAATCGATTCCAATTCGTCGATTTTCCAATTTTTACATTTTTCAGTTTGCAGTTTTTGGGTTTGCACCCCGTTTTACTTTTTGGATTTTCAATTTTTCGTTAAACTTTAGATTTCTCAAATTTTCGACAGTTTTATACTTCGATTTCTTATTTTTTTTTCAACTTTTCGATGTTTTAATTATTTTTTTTTTAAATTTTCCAATTTTTTTTATTTCTCGATTTATCGAATTCAGATGTTTGGATGTTTTGATTGCTCAATTTCTCAATTTATCAATTTCCCATTTTTTTACTTTTTCTCGAGGTTTCGATTTTTGGATTTCTCGGTTTTTCGATTTTAAAATTTTTCGATGTTTCAATTTTTCAGTTATCCGATTTTTCAATTTTTTTAAATTCTGGAGTTTCGATTTGTCAATTTTCCAGTTTTTCGATTTTTAAGTTTCAGATTTTCGAATTTTTCTTTTTTGATTCTTTGATGTTTGGATTTCTCCATTTTTCAATTTTATGATACTTCAATTTTTCAATGTTTCAAATTTTAGATTTTTCGATTTCTGGATTTTTTGATTTTTCAGTTCTTCAGTATTTCTATTTTACAGTTTTTCAAATTTTGACGTTGCTAAATTTTCAGTTTTCCGATTTTTCGATTAATATATATTTTTTTTATTTTACCGTTTCTCGAATTCGCAGTTTCGATTTTTCAGTTCTTCAATTCTTCAGTTTTTCGTTTTTTACATTTTAGATTTTTCAATTTTCGACTGTTTTATATATATATTTCGATTTGTGAATTTTTCGAGTTTTCAGTTTTTTGAGAACTCGATTTATCGAGGTTCGGATGTTTCGATGTTTTGATTATCTCAGTTTTTGAACTTTTCGATGTTTCGATTTTTCGATTTATCGGTTTTTCGTTTTTTTGCTTTTCGATTTTTGAATTTTCCGATTTTTCAGTTTTCCAAATTTTTAAATTTTCAAGTTTTGACGTTTCTGAATTTTCAGTTTTCCGATTTCTCAATTAATCTATTTTTTGGTTTTCCCATTTCCGACTTGCGAAGGTTTCGATTTTTCAGTTTTTCAGTTCCTCAATTTTTCGATTTTTCAGGCTACAGATTTTTCAATTTTTCGATTCTTTAGGTTTGAAATTTTTCGGCTTTTCGATTTCCCAATTTTTCAATTTTTTAATTTCCCAATTTTTGGATATTTCGTTCAATTTTGTTAGTTTTCTCAGTTTTTCGATTCTGGCAAATATCAGGGAGTTTCCACCCTCTGCATTACTCAAGTACATTCAAGCAGTTGGGTGGCTTGACGAGTGGAGGAGCGGGAAAACACCCTGACATGGACTTGGGGAAGGTACAATGGGCTCAAAGGCGAGGCTGGCTACGGTCAGCCCCCATAAATTAAGAATCCAGAATCCAGAATCCAGACCCTGTATATGAAAGCATTTTTATTTGTCATATCAAAAATAGCTGTAGAAATAACGAAAGCAATTAATTGCAATATTTTCCTTTACATAGGCAACTATTTATCACAAAATGTTTGTACTATGATAACCCAAAAAACTAATCATTTGATCTTTGAAACCCGCTTTTAAATTTCCTAATGCCAACAATGCAGATTTAGCACTATTTGAGACGTATAAATAAATAGTTTATCTATAACTTATCTTAACACAGCAAGATGAATTCGTTGCCGCTAGTACTGCTCCTGGTGTATTGCTCCACGTTACATTTTTCCCACAGTAGAGAGTACCAAGATTCACTTAACGCAATTCCCAAGGAAGGTTAGTTAGAGCGTGCGTTATCTTCTTTATATGTCCATTTTTTAATTTTTTTACAGGAACTCAAAAACGACGTCCATCTGTTAAATTGCCATGTCCGACGACATTTTGCTTTAAAGACAGATCCTGTGTGGATTTATGTGACGATAAATTTTCTGCTGGTATTAATAAATGAAAACTATTGTTTAAAAATTATAAATAAATGCAAGCAATTGTAGGGTCAACTACGTCAAAAGTGGTTCAGAATGGACAAACTTACAAATTATTTTGGGTAAAGTGTCCACATATTGTGTGTTTCCCAAATGGAAAATGCTTAGACTTTTGCGATATTGGAATACTTCCATAATGATGTTTATGTAGACACCACTAACTTGGAAGATTAAAAATGATTCAAAAATGTATTTATTTATTTCACCTACCGTCACTCGTAAAAGTTTAATGTACTATAATCTGTACAAACATCAAGCGGAGTTTGTTTAAACATGACCCTCAGAACTATGTTTTGTTGATGATTATAACACTGTTTAACAATTGTATCAACAATAACGTAAGATAAGATCTTTTATTTAAGATTAGCTTTCTTCCATACTGTTTTTTCAAATTATATTTTTAACATCTTTTTCATAATCATCTGTTGGCGTCCATACATCAGTGTAGATGATTTCGTCGCCAAAAACTTGATACACTTCGTCAACGAGACTTCCTTGTGCGTACTTCGCAGTTATAAGTTTTTCGTTAATTGGGATGGCAGAACCATTTGGTCTGAAGATGTAAGCACCGGAAGCTTGATCAGAGACCATTCTTTTGTGGTAGAGGAAATCTTGTTGCAAATTTACCGTTATGGTCAATAGTGAAACCATTTTTCTTCTGCAATGAACAGTCATTAAATAAATCACTAAAAAGTCTGTGACCTAAGTCGTCTCCGAAAGATTTTACATTAGCGATGTCTTCAAATTTGTGATATTTATCTAAAGCGTCGTCAATTTTTTCAACGTAGTACAATTTAACACCTGGAGGGGGTAAATCTTTTGCCAAAAACACCAATTCTTTAGTGGCTGGTTTACCATCAGTGACGAAATCGAAAGGATGTATAGTATCAAAAATGTCAAAAGTGATATCACCGTCGTCTTCAGGTCCTGTTATTTTGTAGTTTTCATTGTCAACAGGAAGTCGCACGTAATGAGACGCACTTTTAGATAGTGTGTTCTGGATAGCAACGACGAAAGGATCTTTTTTGCTGTTATCACAAATACTCATGTTTGCCCGCAGACACTTGACAAGATTTAGATCAACACCAGCACTATCGTCTTTAAGTAGAAGACCATTAGAAATTTCGATTAGTTCAGCAACGATAAATGTGTGACAATTTTTACCTGACGATTTTGCTTACGGGTTTCTCAGTTTCTTTAATTGCTTCGTCAAGCATCAAAGTGTAGTCATCCGCTACTGTTTGTTTCTCAGTACCAGTAACAGCATCGTGGTGTTGCCAAACACCCATTGCCAGTCTCAGTTTGTTGATACTTACATCGTCGTCATTACACTTGATTCTGGAGAAAGTTGTCAACTGTTTGGATGTAGATCTGGACGAAAAGTAACCAGTCCAGAAGGAAACATAGGGGGAAAAGTCGTCCGTCTTGACAATCAATTCGATTTTATTTTTCTCAACTTCGGCTTTGACAGCTTGAATCTAACACGATAGTGTTGAATAAATCACATCTAGGTATCGTCATCCTTGAAACCTCTGAATGACTCTATAAGTTTGTCTATCTTGTTAAAGTTGTGGTCAACTTTTTGGTAACTGAAATCGTTCCCATGGATATAAGAATGTTGTGGGTTTTGTAATACACCTTATATTTGTCAAGTATGCCTTTGTTTGTCTTCACTTACTCACAAATTTAGTCACAAACTTCAAATTGTCAACCCACTTACCCTTTCGTCCAAGTTGTTATCAGTAATGTTCTGATCGTTACAATAAACATCAAAGCAAAATCTCAATTCGTAGACATCAAAATCCGGGAACATGGTGGTGAAAATTTTCGCATCTTCTTCCTCAAAATTGTCATTGGTGTTCTAAATGAAGCCCAAATTTTTGATCTTGGATTCTTTTGGCTTTGTCTCTGTAGTCAAGACGACCGACCACTAGACCATCGAAACCGAACTGTTTGACGATGAAAGCGTGCTCCCGACTATGCCCAAATAAATCGATTTGTCAACCAATTTTGGGGTTTCCGCACTCACCAACAGTATGTTCCAAAATTCTATTGTTTGATTAGTTTGTTATCAATCCAGAAGATTTAGTGCTTAACGGACCAACCACCATTGATTATTTCTAGAAAAACTTCAATGACCAAATTTTTGATGGGGAGGACTTGGATGAGTCTAAAAGTGTCTAGGGTTTACAAATCGGAAAAGTGCTAGCAAGATTAAAAAGCAGTGAACTTATCGGAAGTAAACAAAATTGGTAGAAAGTTGTTTCAACAGAACTTCCCTCGCTCCTGAAGTAGTGGAGTGCCGTAAGGTTTATACCTCGGAACCCGGTTCCACTGAATGGATTTTTGTAAAACCTTTTGGAATGTGTTTTTAATACTAAATACTAAAATGTTTACCCATTTATTTTTGCCGATCTCAATTTTTCAATTATTAAAATAAATAATAATAATTTTTTCGGGATTCACTTTCTATTAAAAACTCGAAATTTTTTGCTCTTAAAGTTAGATTTTTCATAGAATAACTAGTACAAACCTGTCCTTGGGGCCTCAGATAAAAAGGTGAGTAGAAGAAGGTATTATACATAAAAGGGACAACACAAGACGTTTGATGTCGGGCGCAACATAATAATACACGTTGCAACTAGCTAGGCTAAACACGTAGCTGTTTTTGTGCATTTGGAAAAAATGTTTTCTGTTTTTTATTATTTTGATTATTATAATAAAATTATTCATTTATTGGCTTTCTCAAGCAAAATAACAGTGGATGATAATATCATTCCGATTGACCCATTACTGTTATTTGAACGTATTTTCATTAAAAAAAAATCTGATAAAGAACTTAAAATCTACATGACTTGCGAATTAGCTCCTTATTCTCTTGCTCTTTTTGAAGATAACGAAATATGCAAAACAAAAAATTCCCAGAAATGACGGTGAATGTTAACAATGTACAAAAATTTTCATACATAATTGATGTAGGGATCTTAGTACACCGTTGCAAGTGTCAACTGGATGAAAATTTTGGCACTGTTTGTGAACACTATGTAAGCAATAGCAATTATGGACGCAACATTTATGTAATATTTGATGGTTATCAAAAAAATACCACAAAATCGATGGAAAGAACGCGTCGCTCTAAAAAAAATGCATGTATGTAATGACATCATATTCCACAAAAACACGCTTCTCAAAATAGGACAAGAAAAATGTTTTGCGAACGCCAAAAATAAGAGTAACCTCATAGATATGCTACGAAGCACACTTGCGGAAAATAAAATATTTTCTTGTCAAGTGGAAACTGATGGCGACCGATTAATAATAATTGAAACCGCAATTAATTTACAATCCGAAAACGTTGTAGTTTCTGAAAATGATAGTTTTACTGACTGCGCTTTCACCAACAGATTGAGAAATTTATTTTCAAAAACCAGCAAAAGGCAAAACACCACAAAAAGTATAATTCTCTAAAAGTTTGGAAACAGTATTACCAAAGTGTAAACAGCATATCCCTTTTTTAGATTATTTCAGTGGCTGTGACACGACGTCCTTTTTTTCGCAACGGGGAAAAAATGTTTTTGCAAAAAATTTAGAGAAACGACTGCACTTACAAAAAGCTGCAGCAGTTTTTGAAAATGAATGCAAAGACGCCAACAACATTTTTAACGCTGGTTTTACATGCATCCTTGCTTTATACGTTGACCCTCAAAAATAAAAGATCTAAATATCTTAAGCTACAACATTTTTGTAAAGCAACCGGTAAAAATAGCTGCGTTAAATAACCGTCTTTGGCACCTACTGCAAATGCCGCTTTTGAGCACTTCAAAAGAGTATACCTGCAAATTCAAACATGGATAGGAGGAGAAATATTACCAGAAGACTAGGGTTGGAAATATGAAAGCGAAGTACTGATACCAGAAATAAGGACGTAGCTAGGTCAGCTGCACAAACCTTACTGAAAATGATTTTTTACACACACTAAACAGGATGTGTAGCATCTTGTGGGTGCAGGAAGAGTGGCTTGCAATGCACTGTAGCTTGCTTAAAATGCAATGGCAACAGTTGTACTAATCCATCACCTATCATCAAAGTTAATAAGGTGGATGACGACAATGATAATGTAGATAATTGACTGAAAATTTTTCAGTTTTTATAAAATGAAATAATAAATATTTATTTTTTTATTAATGCAGTATATTTTACCTATTTTTTGTATCTTTGGTCTGATATGTATACGATTTTGGGCAACTTGCCATATCAATTTTTTTTTTTTGTAAATTTGTTATTTTTAGCTAAAAAATTATAAATTAATGTTAAAGGGACTATACAAATATCATTTATTGTATATAAAATTGAAATCTTAGTACAATTTTTTTTTCCTTCATATTTTTCTTATTCTTCAATTAATTGTTGTTATAAATTGTTGTAATAGAGATCGGCAAATTTTGATGGATAAACTTTTTCATTTAAACTTTTAACAATGCAATCGAAAAGGTTTCACGAAAATCCATTCAGTGGAACCGGGTTCCGAGGTTTTTACATTTTTATGTCTTACGGCACTCCACACTCGTTACTATAGAAATTTGCAATTAAACACTTTTTAAATTTAACAAGTTTTTACAAGATTAATAGAGCCAAAGTCAGTCTTATGTTAGCAAGTACTAGCCCCGCCCGCCCGCCCACTATTTTTTCAGAGGATATGTTATTTGCCAAAATAAGTCTTATCTTAGCAAGTACTAGCCCCACCCACCCGCCCCCTATTTTGTCAGAGGATATGTTATTTGCCAAAATAAGTCTTATCTTAGCAAGTACTAGCCCCGTTCACGTGCCCTCTATTTTCTTAAAAGGTATGTCCTTCGCTAAAATGCTAGTATTTGGTACGATAAGACTAATTTTGGCAAATGACATAATCCTCTGAGAAAATAAAGGGTGGTTGGGCGGGGCTAGTACTTGTTAAGGTAAGACTGATTTTGGTAGATGTGATACCTTCTAAGAAAAGAGAGGGTGGGTGGGTGGGGCTAGTACCTTCTTGAATAAGACTGATTTTGGCAAATGAGATCTCTCTAAGAAAATAGAAGACGGATGGGTGGAGCTAGTACCTGCTAAATCAGTTTTATCTTAGTAGCTACTAGCCCCGCCTTTTCCCACCCTTTCGTTTATTACAGAGTATGTAATTTGCCAAAATAAGTTTGATC